CGAGTAAAATTGTGTTGAAGATAATTCAAAACGGTTACAACAGTACATCAACAGGGAAATGCTAGAAATTCGAGCCAGATGCAGAAGAGGACACAGTACGAGGGATATCTTTGCTGACATCAGGTGGATCTTTGCTGAAAGCAGAGAATGCCAGAAAGATGTTTACCTGTGCTTTATTGACTGTGCAAAAGCTTTCAACTGTTTGGATCATAACAAACTATCGATAAAATTGCAAAGAATGTCAAGAGGAACCTGTGCATAAACCAAGAAGTAGTCATTTGAACAAAATAAGGGATACTGAATGGTTTAAAATCAGGAAAGGTGTACCTCAGGGCTGTATTGTTTTACCATAGTTCTTCAATCTGTATACTGAGCAAATAATCCAAGAAACTGGATTATATGAAGAAGAATGTAGCATTAGGATAGGAGGAAGACTCATTAACAAATTGCCATTTACAGATGACAAAACCTTACTTGCTGAAAATGAAGGGGATATAAAATACTTGATGAAGATCAAAGACCACAGCCTTCAGCATGGATTACCTCAGTGTAAAGAAAACAAAAATCCTCCCAACTGGACCAGTAAGTAACATCATGATAAATGGAGAAAAGACTGAAGTTGTCAAAGACTTTAGCACTAACAGAAGCAGCAGTCAAGAAATTAAATGACATATTACATTATGCAAATCTGTTGCACAAGACCTCTTTAAAGTGTTCAAGATCAAAGATGTCTGTGGACTAAAGTGCACCTGACCCAAACCGTAGTATTTTCAATAACCTCATATGCATGTGAAAGCTACACAATAAATAAAGGATTACTGTAGAAAATTGGGACATTTGAGTTATGGTGTTGGAGAAGAATATTGAAAGTACCATGGACTTCCAGAAGAACAAACAAATCTGTGCTAGAAATACATCAAGAAGGCTCCCCAGAAGCCAGGATGATGAGACTTGGTTTCTCATACTTCAGACAGATTATTAGGTGGGCCCAGTCCCTGGAGAAAGACATTATGCTGGGTAAAGTGGAGGGTCAGTGAAAAAGAGGAAGACCCCCACTGAGATGGCAGCACCAATTAAGCTGAAGTGTAACAATTGTGAGGATAGCACAGGACCAGAAAGTGTTTTGTTCTATTGTGCACAGGGTCACTGTGAGTCAGAGCTGACTCTGTGGCACCCAACAACAACAACAGATAAGGGTGGGGCCTATTGTGTTACCCTAGGACTCAGCATACAACACCAACCCTCACACAGAACAGATGTCCATGTATACCTACTGAAGACTCAAGTAAACTTTTGCCATTGAAGTTACTTGCATATCACCTCAACCTGCAAACACCTTAAAACTAATTTTTTTAAAAACCCATAAAGTCCAATAGAACAAGAGGGCCAAATACCTATAGCTTTAGGAGTTTTAACACTTTAATGGAATCAATCCTACACCTATACTCTAAAAATAGATATTCTTCAAATTAGGTTGGTGACAGAATATAAACTTAGGTCATTAACCAAGAGCAACTGTTCTAGACCTAGCATAGCAGGTGGGAGCAGGGTGCAATGTCTGGTCTCTTTCTGCAAAAGAAAACTAAAGTCACAAGTTAGACCCACAGTGCTTGGTCCAAGGAGCCCTATACAAGGATGACAGTCTCAACCCCTGCATAGTATCATACTTCCTTACCTAACAAAAAGGAATCTTGGACAGATTTACCCAGCTTCTGTCTACCAGATCTTGCCACAAAAGTTATCTTTACTCTGAATCAAAGTCCACATTCCTGAAGTAACACTGCTGAATGAATGTCAGTGTGCCTGGCCCTAGAATTATCTAGGTAAGGAGTCGTGTGTGGACATGGTGATGAGGCAACTGAGGCATGGCCCACATATGCTAGGGACCACTCATCCTATTCAGGAGCCAGACACTCACATGGACTCACATGGACTGCTTCAGAGTTATAAAAGATCTCACAGTCCCCAACCCAGATGGCCAGAGGTGAAACCAAGAGGAAGCTAACAGTAGGTGCTCTGGGGGCTTTCTGCTGAGGCCAAGGTATACTAGAAGCCAAATGCTACCCTTAGAAAGACACTATGTTTCAACCATGCTCTCAGCTGGCAAAACTTGGCCAGTTTGAGAGTGGGTGGCCATAGAGACCATCCCTTCCCGCTCTCCCCCAAACTGCCCACAGGAGGAATGTGATGGGAGTGTAGCTGTATTACAGTAACAACTATCGTGTTCATTTTTACAGTTAACTTTCTATAACAAGTCACACTAATTATCTATTTCAGGGAATGATAAGAAGTTTCCTTTAAAAACAAGTAAGGAGATATGACAATGAAATGCAATGTGGGATATCCTGAAACAGAGAAGTGGAAAAACTAGTTATATCAATCTGAATAAAGTCTTTATTCATTGAAACTACAGATTTCTGTAGTTTAATCAATCATATATCAGTACGGATTCCAGTTTTGATAACAGTATTGTAGTTACATAAAACATTAACATTAGGGGAAGCAGAGTGCAGAGAATAGGGAAACTGTACTATTTTTGTAACTCTTTTGTTAAGTTTAAAATTATCTCAAAATGAAAAGGTGAAAATATTCAAACTTTAGAAAAATGAGATGAAACATTAAAATATCTGAAGTAAATAACAGCACAGGTTGTACGCAGATCTGGAAATAATCATAGGGGCCTCCAAGAATCTCTGAAGTTTGAGGAGCACAGGATCATGTCCCACATCTTCATTTTACAGATTAGGCTCCAAGAAATCAAGAATCTGGTTGAGGGTTATCAGTGAACTAATCCCCATGATTCCTCTCCCCAGTGGGGTCCCTGCCCTGGGTTACCAACAGGGTTAGGGACACCAGGAAGTTTTTGACCTCAGGTTCTACTTTGGACAGTGACAATCAGATACCTAAGAAAATGTCTCCGACAAAAGAGGGGGAAAGGACAGCCCCTCAGATACGAGGGTAACCCTAAATAGGTGGAACTGTTCTATATACCTGATCAAATACCTGCATCTAATCAAATCAAGGACCTCAAATTATTAAAAAAATAAAAAATCATCTTTAAGATGTCACAACTCCTCACATCTCTCTGTCACTGCCTGTTCCCATACAGCAAAGAAAACCTGATGTCTCACCCTGAAGTCTAGCCTGGGGTGATTCAACTCAGAATGGGCCTTCCGTTACCAAGAAGCTGGTCTTCTCAGGAGGAAACACAAAGGTCTCTCAAAAACATTCTCATTTCCCCCAGTCTGGACACTGAGGACTTTCCAGAGGGGTGCCTGCTTGCAGAGTAAGGTCCTGGGAGGTGGTAGGAAAAGAGGTCCCTCCACACTCATGGATACTCTGGGTCTGAGGTGCCTTCAAGATCCTGACCCAGCCCAGGTTTCCAAGGAGCCAAGGGTAGTTGTGCACAGGGGCTCTGCTCCAACACTCACAGTCTTCACTGCTCAGGTGATCTCCACCATCCTGTGCATCCCAGGGGAGCAGCAGGGGTGTCCCTGCTGAAAGAGTGCCCAGACCAGGGCAGTGCTGATAAACCAAGGTCCTGCCACATCCTAGTCACCTGTTTGCCCACAGTGAGCTGAAAGGACGAGACTAAAGATGCAGCCTATAGTAAGGGCCACGGGACAATCATGAGACTCAGAGTTAAAGCTATCCTTCCTGCAGAATCAGGGCTTCAGCACTGTACAGCCACTTTCCCCTTCCTTCTCCCCCTTGAATCAGAGACTACAGCCCCAGTGGGTCCAGCCCTAGCCAGTCCTGCTGGGTGTTCCCTCAGCCCAAACATCCCAGAGGCAAAGTCAGATGCAAGAGAACCTGTTGGAGCAGTCTAGGTGCAGTGTCACCTCCTCTTACTCCTCCTCCATTTACTTCTGGGTGGGAAGGGGCCTAGGTTTTTGAAAACTAGGCACATTGCCAGGCCAGGGCCAAGAGGGCTGGGCACTCATACTCTCCAAGCTTTACCTGCCACCTGCCCCCTCCCTCTTTCCATATCATAACTTAAATGTCCCTCTCTGGACGAGAGAAGAGGAATGGAGAAAAATGAAGATCCGGGACGAAGAAGCTAAGCCACACCACCACCATACAAATACACAATATTTGTCACTAACAACCTTGGCAGTGACTGCAGGCCAGTCCGGTAGTCCCATTGGTGGGGAGCAGGGAGGAAGGAATTGGGCTCTGCTAGCCAAAACGAGGTTTCAGGAACTCACAGGTCTAGCTGAGGGTGGGAGGACCGTCGCTCAGCGCGCCCCCACTCCACCACCCCCGGCACCCCAACCCGCTAGCGTCTGAGCCCGTCACTCGCGTCTCTCCAAGGACCCGCGCTGGGCTGCGCAGTGGATTCTCCGGGCCCCAGCCTGCCGAGCTCGCGCCGGGAAAGTTCCTGCAACTTCGCAGGGGGAGGAGACGGGGCGAGAGGGGGAGGGGGCGCCAGGCCTGGGCCTCGGGTCCCCACCGGGCGCCCGGCCCCCGAATCCTGCTAGGTCCAGTGGCTCCAGGGCTAGCCCGAACGATCCCCAGGACGCCCCCAACTTAGACCCAGGAACCCTGTCTGCGCAGCGGCCCTAGCAGTGCGGCCCGGAGTGGCCTCTAAATGCGGAGCGGAGCCCGGACTGGCAGCCTACTCCTTGTCCGCCGGGCCTCGGCTTTTGTGCACGGCTGGCAAGGGTTGCCGGTCGCCGGGAACGCCCGGGTGGGAAGCTCAGCCTCTGGGCCCAGCGCCCCCCTCCTCTTGCACAAAAGGGTGCAGGGCCCAGGGCAATGGCCCCATCGGCCCTGAGCGCTCTCCAGCCCCCCAAAATGCGTCCTAGTAGACCAGAGACAGGCAGCCACTGCCATCTCTCGCGTCCGCTGGAAGGGCCTGTGGGACAGGCGCAACGGCCCGGGACGAGGGGCTGGTCTGTGCGAGTCGCAGCGGGCCGGATCGCAGCGGGCCCGGCTGGGCCGGGCTCCGCGGCGGACACAATGCAGGCCAGGGCGGGGACCCCGGGCCGCGCGCTCACCTGCCGTGGAACCAGTCCTTGCAGGCGTCGCACTCGATCATGAAGCGGGTAACGTCGTAGGGGAGCCGGCAGATGCAGTACACAGGC